GGAAGGAAGGAAGGAAGGAAGGAAGGAAGGAAGGAAGGAAGGAAGGAAGGAAGGAAGGAAGGAAACTATACCTGCATTTCTCCATGGATTACAGGGGCATTTTCTTTGAACACTCCATCTGGTTCTTGCCTGTTCAGAATCAGCCACTTTACACCTCCACAAATAATTTCACTGTTAATGTCCTTTACAACTTTGGCAGCCATGGCAAAGACTTTTACAACATATGCTGTTAGCCTGTAAAGAATATAATGTGTTAACCAACCATTTCAATGAGGATCTTAATACACGTAGTTGCTTGCTTGACTTTGTAAGCCAATATGGCTAGGCTACTGCTAATTACGAGGGAGAGGGTAAGAGTGGGTTGTCCCAGAGCCACCACACCAGTAGACTATGGCACAAGAGCAGAACCTGTGCATGCCTTTAAGGCCAATGTTGTTGTTATGATAGGAGATAATTAAGATTAAAATGGGTCATCCTTGTCTCTCCTTCAACCCAGGAAGGAAAGAAAGTTCAAGTACCCAAGGATTCAAAGGCCAATGTCAAGAGATATGGCACATCAAGTCAGCTTAAGAGGAATTACAGGTGTTGTTATATCACAACAGTACATAGGAATGAGAACTTTGGAACAAATGCAGGATAATAGTTAAGAGAATGAGAATTCTTTGATTCAGTTCTTGTGACTATTAAAGATGAACTCTTAGCATTTGCCCTATATGGGTTAGTAATAGTCAATGTAACTGAACACTTTCAGAGGGTAGCTCCCCACTGAGATAGCATAACTATCCATTAAGAGAGCCAGTTTGGTATAGTGGTGAAGATGCTGGCGTTCTAGGCCTCCCTTAGACACTGTGCGTTCTAGGCCTCCCTTAGGCATGAAAGCCAGCTGGGTAACTTTGGGCCAGCCACTCTCTCTCAGACCAATCTACCTCACAAGGTGGTTGTTGTGAGGAAAATAGAAGGCAGGAGTATTAAATATGTTTGCCACCTTGAGCTGACCGAAAAGAAAAAAGCGGGATCAAAATCTAGTAGTAATAGTAGTAGTGATGATGATGATGATGATAATGATGATGGTGATGTGCTCTGGGACTTTAGAATTCAAACAGACAAGCAACTGCCACACAACCCTCCAGACTTAACAATTGTTGATAAGAAAGACAAAAGTCTGGATAGTGGACATTGCAATACCTGGAGACAGGAGAATAGAAGAGAAAGAATTGGAGAAAATCACAAAATACAAAGACCTGCAAATAGAAGTAGAACAACTGTGGAAAAAGAAAGCAAAGATAGTACCAGTAGTTATAGGCACCTTGGGTGCAATCCCAAAACATCTGGAGCACCACTTGAACACTATCGGCACTGACAAAATCACCATCAGTCAACTGCAAAAGGCAGCTTTACTTGGAACAGCTTACATCCTGCAGCGATACATTTAATATTATTAAACAACACCATCTGCCTATCCCAGGTCCTTGGAAAGGACTCAACAGGTGGATAAAAATACCAAATCCACTCTAAACCTCTGGCTGACTGTGTGACCAACCCTAATAATAACAGCCACAACAGCAACAACAGCAACTGAATCTCAAGGAACCAATGTTTTCAAGTGCTTCTTCCACCTTAGAGCAGGAGCACATTCCCATTCTTACCGAAGGAAAAAAAAAATAAAACTGATCGATACCAAATGCTAGACATGGGAAGACAAGAGGGAAAAGAGGGAGGCATACAATATGGGTAGAAAAGGATCTTTTGTCAAGGACTGAAGCACAGCCAGGGAAGGAGCAACTAGGAAAAAGAGAATAGTAGGTAGAAAGGAACGAAGAAAGCAAGAAAGGAAATGCAAAGACTCTCTTTGTTAGAGAGTTAGAGAATGAAAATATATAAAAGTGTATAGAAAGTTAGAGGAAAGCCCTTCCATGATCTGAAAACATTGCTATAGTTCCTCTGTTCATACCAAGTACTAGCTGCGCGGTCTTTAAATGCTGCATAGGAGTGGTCTCCTTTCTTGTACACCAACTGCTGGGTGTAACCTAAAAAGGGACAAGATAGAAAGAGCTGTGAAATTCTACTCTAGCCATACAAAAGCATGCTTGCATCCAGATTGGCAGCCCCAGCAGTTTTGCATTCCTCTTTTTTTGCTGTGTCTCATTGAAACAGCTTTTCCTTTGCACAATTGTTTTGTTTTGTGTTCTGGTCTCAGTGTAAAAGTGCCCTACTCTGCAGTTGAGATTCTGAAAGGAAACTACTTTAACAACAACAGTAACAAAGGAGCTGAAGAAGACTATTAGAATAGAGCATACACTGATGTCCTGAGACTTGATTCTTACAACTGAGAAACAGACATTTGATATCAGAAAAAAACTTCCAAAATCACCACAAAAGAGAGGAAAATGTCTTTGGCTGGTGTGGGTCTTCTGGGCTGTGTGGCCATGTTCTGGAAGTTTTGTTTCCTAACGT